AAAAAAAAAAAAAAAAAAAAAGCCTTTGCATTGTAACAGCACAGAAAATTAAAGCTTTCCTATATTACCTTAATAGTGGCTATTGCAGGCCCTGGAAGCTACTTGATTTCATAAATTCATTTTTAACAATAATAATACTGTATATATGTGTATAACCTTTCATCCCCAAATATTACCAACTGCCCCACAAACAATATACATAGAGCATGGCTGCAACATGGGCAGTTGCAGTCTGCAGTGGACTATAGCATCTAACTGACATGGAGTACAGTGGTGTGGGAAGGGAGAATTTGGATCAAGGACCCGGGGAAACCACTTTTTTTCGGCAAAGTACCTGGAAGAGCTGAGCCAGAGGAGAGGTCTAGACCTTCATCCAAGCACTGTGGTATATGCTATCTTCCACAGAACGAATTTTCATCAGGGAGGATCTGGTTTTTAGTAAGATACTATTCATTATTTTTTGTTGGAAGAGCTAATGGGTGTGTATTGAAATAATCCCTAAAACAGTGATCATGTACTGGTAAGATTAAAATCTGCAGGGACACCATCAAGTTAAAAACCATATGTGCAAATTACTTAATGTATGTTGATAGTTTAGTCTGAGATTATTACAGCTCAAGGACTTTCTAAAATTCATACCAGTAGGATTAATTGTCCAGGTAATAGAGCGAGATTTGGCTTTATTTTGATGTTTTCTGCAGATACGGTTTTCCTGCCTTGTGTGTTTATATATGTTCATGTGTGTGCATGTATTTTATTTACTTATATATATGGGGGATGTGTATCTCATAGATAGATCGATAGATATGGGCTGAAGTGTACAGTAAGAGGTAGTTATATGCAAATACTTCTAAGAGAAACATCATCAAAGTAGAGTTGAAATGGTCCTGCCTTCCTATTTCGTAGTTTAGATAACAGATTATATAGATACAGCTATATATGGGAGATGCAGAAGTGGATGAGAATTTGGGCAGCAGTGACAATGAGATGATTGAGTTCAGGATCCTGACAAAAGGAAGGAAGGAGAGCAGCAGAGTAAGGACCCTGGACTTCAGAAAAGCAAACTTTGACTCCCTCAGAGAGCTGATGGGCAGGATCCCCTTGGAGGCCAGTCTGAGGAGCTAAAGAGTCCAGGAGAGCTGGTTGTATTTAAAAGAAACTTTACTGAGGGCACAGGAACAAACCATCTCAATGTGCGGGAAGAATAGCAAATATGGCAGGCAACCAGCTTGGCGTGACAGAGAACTCTTCAGTGATCTTACACAAAAGGGAGCTTACAAGAAGTGGAAGTTTGGACAGATAACTAAGGAGGAATGTTGCTTGGGCATGCTGGGATAAAGTCAGGAAGGCCAAAGTGCATTTGGAGTTGCAGCTAGCAGGGGATGTGAAGGCTAACAAGAAGGGTTTCTATAAGTATTTTAGCAACAAGAGGAAGGTCAGGGAAAGTGTGGGTCCCTTACTGAATGTGGGAGGCAACCCAGTGATAGATGATGAGGAAAAGGCTGAAGTACTCAGTGCCTTTTTTATCTCGATCTTCACAGGCAGGGTCAGCTCCCACACTACTGCAGCAGGCAACAGTTTAGGGAGGAGGTGAGCTGATTGCCTGGGCAGTAGCTCTGCAGAAAAGGACCTGGGAGTTAGAGTGGACAATAAGATGTATATGAGCCAGCGGTGTGGCCTTGTTGCCAAGAAGGCTAACGGCATCCTGGGCTGCATTGGTAGGTGTGTTACCAGCAGATTGAGAGAAATGATTATTCCCTTCTATTCTGCACCGGTGAGGCCACATCTGGAGTACTGTCCAATTTTGGGTCCCCCACTATAGCAAGGATGTGAAGAAATTGGAGGGAATCTAGTGGCAGGCAACAAAAATGGTTCGGGGGCTGAGGAACATGACTGCTGAGGACAGGCTGAGGAAACTGGGCTTATTTAGGTTGCAGAAGAGAAGATGGGAGGAGGGGGTTGGTAGCAACCTTAATTATGGGAAGGGGGTTTCAGAGAGGGTGGAGCTGGACTGTTCTCAATGGGGACAGATGACAGAACAAGGAGCAATGGTCTCAAGTTGCTGCAAGGGAAGTTTAGGTTAGATATTAGGAAAAACTTTCTCACTAGGAGGATGGTGAAACACTGGAAAAGGTTACCCAGAGAGGTGGTAGAGTCTCCATCCTTAGAGGTTTTCAAGACCCAGCTAGAAAAAGCCCTGGCTGGGATGATCTAGTTGGGGCTGATCCTGTTTTTGAGCAGGGGGTTGGACTAGTTGACTTCCTGAGGTCCCTTCCAGCCCTGATTTTCTAAGATTCACTGTGTGTAGCAGGGGCCAGGCCGAGCGCCATACTCACTGGTACGAGGGCTGCCAGCATGAATCCAGTAGCAGATCCCTAACCAGGCTCATGCAGAAATGGTGAGTCTGTGAGCTGGGTGTGCCCTGCTCGTTGTTCCCCTACCCAGTGGTGGGGTTACAGCATGGCCCCGTGTACCAGGTGCAGGGCGCTACCCCTATGGCTTCCCTGCCACCATCAACTGGCTGTACTGGCACTGCCCACACTGCCAAACTGCGGTTGGCTGCCGGGCAGGCAGATGGCATCAGGAAAACCATAGGGGCAGCATCCTACACCTGGTACACAGGGCCATGCTGCACCACTGCTGCTGCATAGGGGAGCAGTGACCCGGGCACGCCTGTCTCAGCACCTGGCAGCCTGGGAGATCCAGGTAATAACACCAGGGGCTGAAGGGGCAAGCCTGTGCCGTGCATGTTGGTGTGAGGGCCTAGCGCCACTTTCTAGTGGGTAGAAGGGGTTGCTGGTTGCGGGTAGAAGGAGCTGCTCCTCCAGCTGCATGCTTAGCTCTGCCCTGGGCTAGTACCGACACGCTTAAGCTCCTTCCCTGCCCCCACAGCCTGGGTCCCTTTGTTCAGTGGGGCTTATGTCCAGGATGAAGCCGCTGTCACCACAATCCCTCTGTATTCTGCTCTGTGCATGTCCCCCCATGGGCTTGGTGCCGTTTCGTTCCCCTCCCTCCCCCTGATCTGGCCTTTGCTCCTGGGCTGCCCCAAGCGAAACTCTGGCCCCAGCAGCTGAGAAGGCACAGTGGGATCACTTCCTGGCTGGGAGGAGAGCTCTGGGGGTCCCAAGCCGTGTTGAGCCACACACATGGTGGGAAAGCTGGGCAGACCCTGGCTGGGCTCTCTGTAGGCCAGGGTGGGGGTTTAAACCCCTCCCCAGTCATGCTTAGGCCTTCCTGGGCCTGCCCCAGCTCAGCTTCCATCCAGCTTCAAGAGAAGGGAGTGCTTGCTCTAGTGTCCCCCCAGCTTCTAGCCTGGGTCACTCCTGGCAAGCGGCTGCATTTCTGGAATCAAAAGTGAATGTCTATTCACTTGCTTGTCTGTTCAATCCACATAGGTTAAACTAACCTGCAAAGATTTAATCAGTTCAGGCTCAGACTTTTTGAATGTCTGTACGTAGCCCTGCTGAGCATGCAGCACACAGGCCCCATCCTAGTGTAGCCATTTGGCCTGGGAGTCCCTCGACACAGTGACATCATGCAGAAATGACTGTTTGGGGGGCAAACACCAGAAGGGGATATTTAAGACCAAACAAAAGTTGCTTCATCATTTTCACTTCATGATAACATTTCTAATCAATTCCAGGTTTTGTTGTTGCAGTTGTTATTTTAAGGGGGAAAAAATGCTTTAAACAAGTCTGCAGCTTCAGCCCTTCATTCCTGACGTTGTCTTTTTATGATTTGAACAATAGGCAGATCATTACAGGTCTGTGTTATATACTGCCATGCAGGCATGTCTTGGGTCATGATTTGGCACAAAAGAACCTTTAATATTAGCTCCATCCTTTCCTTTTCTCCTACTTTGGCCATATTCCCAGGTTTATTTATGGGGATTGACTTCCCTCTTTATTAGCAGAGAATTATTGGGCCTAAACGT